TATATATATATATATATATATATATATATATATATATATATATATATATATATATATTTACTTATGCTTTTCTTATTTATATAACCTTAACGTATTATTATCATTTATTCACTTCAATTAATTAGTTTGTTTAATTATTTTAATCATATATATATTTTCATATTTATTTCAATAATATTTATCTATACCCATATTTGTTTTGCTAATTTGTATTTATACTTTTACTTATATATGTAATTTAGTGAAGCCAATTGTTTTCCCAAATATTTATTTATCAAGAAACGATGAAAATACTTTCATTTATCATTTTATACTGTTCATGAATAAATAATAATGATAACAAATCACTTCCGATAATTTTGATAAATTTCCAATGATTTTGGCAAAAACATAATGTTTCAAAGTTAATTTAACTTTGACCTTTTTTCTTCTCTTTTCTTCTATTCCTATAAGTTTTATTTATTTCATATTTTCTTATGGTAATATATTTCATTGCTAATCTCATTTCTTTTACAGGGAAAAATTTATACAGCTGTAAAATTAACTCAACCAGATACTATAATTATTTTACGACATCGTATTTATGAACGAGTAGCAAATCAATGGGCTGAAGCAGCTTCTGAAGAATTTGAAGCAGTTGTTAATAAAGGTTCCGCCAAAATGGAAACAATTGATAAGCGACAGGTTAAATTTAATCATTATTTAAATTACTATTTCAAACAAGATTTGAAAATAGTATAATGATTAACAATGCGTTCAAACAGTAAAATTTAATAAAAAATTAGTTTAATATTTAATTACATTTTCTATATTTACAATAACATTGCAATATTATTAAAAAAAAAATTTAGTTTCCTCTCAATAAAAGCTCATTTTTTAAATTATAAAATATTTTTTTGCAGATGGAAATACGAACTACAACAGGACGAGTAATTCGTGAAATGTCAAACGGAATGTATTATTTTTCAAATGATAATCGTGTATTAATAATGGGTGTACGATTAAATGAACCTACCGAAAGTGACATTCATAAGTTGGGTTGGTTACGAAAAAATGATAATGCATGGTTAATACGTAATGGAATTATAAAAATTACCGATTCTCAGGTATAATAAATTGATAAATTCTTATTGTAGATAAAAAATTTTCAAATTTTTCTGAATCCTAAATTTTTCATTTTTCTTAATCAAATTAAAATTAACATCGACAAAAAAAAGTTTATTTAAATTTATCAAAAATTTTATGCTATCATTGTATTATTTATAGCATATAACAATTGAAAATTGTAAAGAACAACGTTACTTAACTCGATATAATGCGGAATATTTTATAACTTATGATGATCGTATCATCGATCTTGATCTTGGCTATCCAGTCGATCAACAGAACTGGATTGAAAGAGCAGAAATTTTAAATGATGATCGAGCAGTACGAATTACTCATGCTGAAGGCACCGTAATACATGTCAGCGTTAGTAGTGGTACCAGGTAAAAATTTAGGTTAAATTATAAATTCTAACCATAAATTATGCAAATTTAATTATTTTTTATTTCAAAACAATTTTTTTAGAGAAACATAATAAAAGTAAATTTTACTGTAACATATATACATATATTATTAGTAAGTTTACTTATTATTGAATTTTTAAAAAGTGTTTAAAATTTTTACTCATTATCTAATATTTGTAGTGTAAGTTTTATCTTGTCCGTATAACTTTTTTATAAAAATTATACGAATAGATATAACTTATATTATAAATATCACAAAAAATTCATTAAAAAAAAGGTGAATTTCGCCCAATAGTACCAGTTTTTCTCATTAAATATAATTTATTTATTTCAATTAAGCTTGTTTACTTACTTATGAAAAACACTTGAAATATTTAAAATGCCAAATTTAATATTTAAAATGCCAAATTTAAAATTTTAATTATTAATTGGCGTAAATTAATAAGTGGCTGTTTTGATATAATTATAAACATGATTAATAATTTCTTTTCAAGTATAATCCTTAATCATATGTCAACAATTTTTTTTTTTAAGGCCTATTATTGTACGACATGCTTCACATTTGCTAACGTTTAATGGAACAATTCGGATGGATGAACAATCAAATCGATTCCTCAATCTTACAATATTGGCAAGTTTGATAATTATTAGAAATTAAATAAACACGAAATTGTAATATGAAATTCAATTCAATAATGGATTTCTCTTAGCCAAGCATTTTGAAATGAGTGTTTGATGGAAAAAAATCCAATTTCAATAAGTGAAATATTTTGAATAATCTTAGGGAAAAAAAGCAGTCATTTTAATTTTGTTATTGCTTTAATTGATTACTAATTTATTTATTTATTTGGTTTAATTTTTATTTGTTATTAAATTGTTTGATCAATTTTTAAAAATATTTGTGACACATTTCTTTTTCAAATTTATTTTTTAAGTACTTGCTGCACATAAGGGTTAAAAGCAAATTTGACAATATTGCTAAATTATCAATCATTTTTTTTTTGGAATTACCACTGATCGTTATGCATTATTTTAGCAACAAAAAAAAAAAAAATGAGAAATTTAAA